CATCTAAATTGAAACTTTACTATGATGTTGAGCCTCTTGAGGTGGTAGACTCTTATTGTTACCTTGGTATTTCCCTTCATCGCAATAGAAGATATATTCATGCAATTAAAACACTTTTAAATGCGGGTACAAAGGCAATGTTTTGTTTTCTAAACAAATTACGTAATATAAACTTACCACTTGACTGCATTCTTACAGCTTTTGATGTAATGATAGAACCAATTATATTATATGGATGTGAAGTTTGGGGGTTCGAAAACATCAACTTAATTGAAAGAATACACATAAAATTTATGAAACTTGCTGCAGGTCTTCGAAATTCAACCCCAGATTATATGATATACGGAGAATTTGGTCGATACCCGATGTATATTAAATTAAACAAAAGACGTATATGTTTTTGGCACAAAATGGTAACAAACACGCGCCAAGACAAACTATCATATAATATATATTCTATCATGCTGCAAGTTAGTTCTGAAATCAATGTGTTTCCCTGGATTGAATTTCCAAGAAAGAACTAAATGACTGTGGTTTAACTGAAATATTTTACAATCCATTTCTATGTACAGCTAAGTTTCTCTCTTTTAAGATCGAACAGATCCTCAAAGACCAATTTTTACAAAAATGACATAGCTCTATGATACAGAGCTCCAAATCTTCTTTTTATCGTATCCTAAAAACCAATATAGAATTTGAGAGATATCTCTCTCTGCCAAAACATATCTATCTCCGATTTTAAGATTCATATAACTAATCACCACCACCCTATAGAAGTTGGCCTTTGGGCAAATGTTCCTAGAGAATATCGTCTTTGTATTTTATGTAACTCTCATGCTGTGGGAGATGAACTCCATTATCTGTTCAAATGAGAAGCTTTATTACTGTATAGACAAACATATTTACCTTCTTACCTGAATCCAATAACCTTGTGGAAAGTCGTCAAACTGTTCTCGTCTAAACAAACGCGCAATCTTAAAAATCTTGCTACCTACATTAATGTTATATTTAAGTCTACAAAGATACATTAACCTTTTGTTCTTTTTCGCTTTTATCTGCCATCTTGTCATGAATTTATTTATATGACTATAGTAATATTGTATTCTCATGTACCACCGTTGGTGGTGTTTTGAGTAATAAATTGAATTGAATTGATTAATCCTAAAACATGACGTTAGTCCAACGGTGATTGGTCCAGCGCAACCGGGCTTGTGAAGATCCGAGTTAGAACTGGTCTTCACTAACCCATACTTGTCGTTAGAGGCGACTAACGGGATCGGGTGGTCAGGCTCGCTGACATGGTTGGCGCGTGGTTTTTCGGCCCGTCAATCGTGGGATAAACACGTGGATGCCGGGCTTACAGGTTCCATCTGTGTAGCCGATTACGAATTGTCTGTCCACTTACCTGTAGCTCTGTGAAACGTATCTCCAATTTGAGAGGCACTTTGACCGCAATTTTGTAGCATAATCGTACTGATGAAGCGGTTCTGTGCGCCAATTGGTCAGCCAGATTGAGGTCTGTCATCGTCTGTCACTATCGAGAATTTAATCTGCTAAGTACTGACTGTGAAACATTACGAGCTCGTCGCACAATGTCCTGTTTTGTTCCAGCTTCCAACACGGCAGTTTCACGTGGCCGTTCCTGATGTGACAGACAGCGCATCATGTCAAACTTTTAAAACGATTTTCAGTCTTGTGTTTATCACTGAAATGTACAACAACGCACTGACACGATCCACTGTAAATTTCGAATTTTACCCAGACCTTGTTCACGTGTACGTGATGAAAAACGCTTACAGGAAATTGGCGTGTTTGCACAAAATCCATATCACGTTGTGAATGGAATATTCATTTTCTAACTCAATATTCAGCTTGGTTCCCCAAAGATATCCCCCCAAAATGGAACATCCCCTACTTTTTAAAATAAGTATGTATATGTATACGCTAAACATTGCCCGCCTCAACAAAGACGACTGCAGAGAGTGGGTGAGCCTTGGTCAGCTGTAACAGTGTATGTCCAGATAACATGAGCCTTCATATCGTGTATGTCCAGATAACATGAGCCTTCATATCATGTATGTCCAGATAACATGAGCCTTCTTGTCGTGTATGTCCAGATAACATGAGCCTTCTTGTCGTGTATGTCCAGATAACATGAGCCTTCATATCGTGTATGTCCAGATAACATGAGCCTTCTTGTCGTGTATGTCCAGATAACATGAGCCTTCATATCATGTATGTCCAGATAACATGAGCCTTCATATCGTGTATGTCCAGATAACATGAGCCTTGGTCAGCTGTAACAGTGTATGTCCAGATAACATGAGCCTTCATATCGTGTATGTCCAGATAACATGAGCCTTCATATCGTGTATGTCCAGATAACATGAGCCTTCATATCGTGTATGTCCAGAGAACATGAGCCTTGGTCAGCTGTAACAGTGTATGTCCAGATAACGTGAGCCTTCATATCGTGTATGTCCAGATAACATGAGCCTTCATATCATGTATGTCCAGATAACATGAGCCTTCTTGTCGTGTATGTCCAGATAACATGAGCCTTCTTGTCGTCTATGTCCAGATAACATGAGCCTTCATATCGTGTATGTCCAGATAACATGAGCCTTCATATCGTGTGGCTTTAGATTTATTACTACATACAAAAGGACCATTATTAATAGTAACTATGATGACATTTGCTTGGTATATACAGGGTTCTGTCGTTCAAACTCCCCATAACGGTTGCCATTATTCAATGACTCTGCTTAATCACTGGTAATCTGATATATTATTGTGACCGACGGAGTATCAATGACTCAATGACTTCAATGACTCATTGACCATGTTGCGAGATATCAGGAACGGTTGTTGTTGTCGCAGTATATCAGGAATCCTTGTCCTCATGTCAGTATATCAGGAAATCATTATCCTTGTCGCAGTACACCAGGAATCATTATACTCCTAGTTTTAGTATATCAGGAATCATTACACTCCTAATTTTAGTATATCAGGAAATCATTAGCCTTCTCGTAGTATATCAGGAATCATTATACTCCTAGTTTCAGTATATCAGGAAAATATTATTATTCTCGTAGTATATCAGGAATCATTATACTCCTAGTTTCAGTATATCAGGAAATCATTCTTCTTCTCGTAGTATATCAGGAAGTCATTCTTCTTCTCGTAGTATATCAGGAAATCATTCTTCTTCTCGTAGTATATCGGGAAATCATTATTCTTCTCGTAGTTTATCAGGAATCATTATACTCCTAGTTTCAGTATATCAGGAATCATTATACTCCTAGTTTCAGATATCAGGAATCATTATACTACTAGTTTCAGTATATCAGGAATCATTATACTCCTAGTTTCAGTATATCAGGATCATTATACTCCTACTTTTAGTATATCAGGAAATCATTCTTCTTCTCGTAGTATATCAGGAAATCATTCTTCTTCTCGTAGTATATCAGGAAATAATTCTTCTTCTCGTAGTTTATCAGGAATCATTATACTCCTAGTTTCAGTATATCAGGAATCATTATACTCCTAGTTTCAGTATATCAGGAATCATTATACTCCTAGTTTTAGTATATCAGGAATCATTATACTCCTAGTTTCAGTATATCAGAAATCATTATACTCCTAGTTTCAGTATATCAGGAATCATTATACTCCTAGTTTCAGTATATCAGGAATCATTATACTCCTAGTTTCAGTATATCAGGAATCATTATACTCCTAGTTTCAGTATATCAGGAATCATTATACTCCTAGTTTTAGTATATCAGGAATCATTATACTCCTAGTTTCAGTATATCAGAAATCATTATACTCCTAGTTTCAGTATATCAGGAATCATTATACTCCTAGTTTCAGTATATCAGGAATCATTATACTCCTAGTTTCAGTATATCAGGAAATCATTCTTCTCCTAGTTTCAGTCATATACTCCTAGTTTCAGTATATCAGGAATCATTATACTCCTAGTTTCAGTATATCAGGAATCATTATACTCCTAGTTTCAGTATATCAGGAAATCATTCTTCTTCTCGTAGTATATCAGAAATCATTCTTCTTCTCGTAGTATATCAGGTTTATCAGGAATCATTATTCTTCTCGTAGTTTATCAGGAATCATTATACTCCTAGTTTCAGTATATCAGGAATCATTATACTCCTAGTTTCAGTATATCAGGTTTCAGTATATCAGGAATCATTATACTCCTAGTTTCAGTATATCAGGAATCATTATACTCCTAGTTTCAGTATATCAGGAATCATTATACTCCTAGTTTCAGTACTTTTCCCTAGTATATCAGGAAATCATTATCCTTGTTGCAGTATATCAGGAATCATTATACACCTAGGTTCAGCATATCAAGAATCATTGTTATAGTCGCAGTATATCATGATTGGTGACTATTTCTTCAGCGGGTTGGAACAGCCCCCTAGCAACCTAATACCATGTTTACACCGGGTCTACGACCGAAAAAAGGCCCTCGCATAAAGTCGTAGTGGGGTAGCGGTGGGGTCTTACTGAGGTCTCTATCATCGCCGAAAGCATCGCCAACGATCGCCATCACTCTCCACCGGTCGCGTTAGGTTTGGCGAGTGTAGAGAATGGTTCTCCACACTCGCATAACGTCTGCTACCGGTCCAACTCACATGGAGGTCGCGAAATCGGTCGCAGTATGATCGCACAAGTCTCAATAAATTCGCAGGTAGCTCGCAGGTCAGTCGCACTTACTCGTAACGCTGTGGCGAGTTCATTACGAGCGCACTGCGATCCCTCAGCGACCGGCGAGAGCGTTCCCGCGATTTCATTGCGACCGATTTTGAGTCTACCGTGAGCGGCGGCCGCCTATGAAACCAAGCTGACAGGCATACTTGAGTCAGTCTCGGACACCAAGTGCTGCTGAGGAGGACTGCTGCCAGAATAGTTAGAAAGAAGAGGACTTCAAAGAAGGCCCCGGCCTACCCCGTCTACGTCTACTCAAGATCTTCAGAGGCCTGCTACCCCTGAACCAGAAGAGAGCGTCCGGCCTGCCACCCCTGTCGAAGATGAGACCCTGCAAGCCCCTGCAAGCCCTCGGAGCCTGGCCCCTCCGCCAATACAAGAAGAAGACCTGCTGGTTGATCCAACTCCGGATGATAACCTACAATCGCCAGCTTCGAAGCAGAGAGAATTCCACAAGAGGACCGTCACCCTTACTCCAGAGCAGGAGGAAGAAGTTATGCACATCCCCAAAGACAACCCGGCCATGAATGACACGAGGAAGGGCGGCTTCAGGCAGACGAAAATCAAGCAGGTTCCTTGGTTGACCATCTGCGTCAACGTCAGCTTGTTCAGAAGGTTCAGGAGGGGGAGACCAAGTGTACCAGTCTCCTAGCGGTCTTTCATATCCGATGCATTAAATATTTGGGCTTCTGATTGGTGTCCAAAGCGCTTCGTATCCACCCGCGGGAACTTGTAGGAGAACGATGGAGTAGCAGCTTTTGTAGACACACCAGTAGTCGCTTCCACTCAGTGCAGGTGCCCCTATGGCATGAGGCACTTTTCATTTCAGTTCCAATTGTCTGGCTATTTCCTTCCACTCTTCTGGTCTTGAATACCTCGTCTCTGTAGGCATCCACGATAGCCCGACAAACGTGGGGTACCATGCGGTGTATTGATGACTTGCCCATCCTGTAACTGTAAGCCATGCATGGATACTGGTCACCAGTGGCTAGGTGTCTTAAGGGTCTGCAATTGTTGCCTTTTCCGATAACATTGGGCCCTATTCTCTCCATTTCATGAAAGAGCTCCATAAGCATTCCCATGTAGTTCTTGAACTGATTTGGATTTTCCTGTTTCAACCCTGGACAAGCTGGTAGTCCTTACAGTGTTCTCTCCAGGGGTCAGCCAGTTTCTGACTCGCATCTGGCAGCGTCGCCTTCTTCTTCCTATTTCACGTTGTCTAATCATTGCCAGGGTGTAGTTAATAACGTCATTCAGTTGTGCTTCGGCTTCTGTCTGCAGGACAAGGACCAAAACGATATCTCCAGAGTCAATATCCATCTCTTTCTGAGTGTTTCCAGTGCTTTCCAGGCGACGAATGACGAGATTGCAGGCGGTCCCGGTACTTGTTAAACGATTTTGAAAGCGGAAGCTCTCGATTGGCGTCGCATAGGTCTCAGTGCGGTTTGCCAAAAGGTCCTCATCATCTTACTGGAGTCGCAATAACTCGCATTGACTCACAGCGATCGCAAATAGTCGCAAAGACGATCTTACTACTCGTACTCCAGTCCAAAATCGGTCGCAGATGTTGTCGTTGTGGTCTCGACCTGGTCGGCGCCGTTCGTCAGAAGCTCACCTTGAACCTTGCCACAAAGTCACACTCAGAGGCTACGACCGCATTGCGACCTAGTTGCGATACCAAAGTTTTTGGTCGTAGTCAAATCGCACACCCTGTCGGTATAAACTCAAAAGAGCGATCAATCGCCAAAACGTACGCGACCAGTGCGATCGCTCGTCGCAGCCAGGTCTCAGACAGGTCGCGTCTCGGTGTAAACATACCCTAGATAGTCATCAGTATAGACTTACAGGATATGATGATCAGGTTCGGTGACGTAGTTGATGACGTTTCAGCATGCCCCTACGGCGGCGACGTTGCTCGTAATCACTGAAGTTGCTGGCCGATATACAGTCGGGTGTCAGATGATTTAGAAGTTAATGCCTTAAGTTAATTAACAATGTTTCTTTAGTTAATCACTTGGTGTCTCTTGTTTGGTTTACTCGAGTAAGAACATCCTGAAGGCGATGTCTGCTTGATTAGACCGGCCCACCTGGCTGTGATTCTCAAATCCTAACTCCGACATGAAGAAACGGGTGTCAGATTGCTACACTTTTATTTCTGTGGACAAATGGTTTCAGGGAAATGCATACATATAATGGTGTTTCTTGAAATAAGAAATACATAAAAGTGTTTCATTTAGAAAATATCCAGTGTCTATAAATCACCAAGGGCAAATCGAATGACGATAGTTATTGATATTTGTAGGTCGAAGAGGATAGTTATGCCCATATCCCCGATAGATGGCTTTCATTTAACTTCAGTTTGAACATAAAAATAAATTGAAGGGAAGTGTTATTTTCGAAGTCGGAGACCCTCTCAAGTCTCTCAAGAAGGTTAAGTTCAATTAGTCTGCAGAAATTAGATTTATCAGGATGGTGCTCATCGGGTTTCGTTTCGTTTGACCTTATCCTTCCACCCCATGAAAGAAAATAGTAATGAACATTATAATACAGAAAATCAATAATTATGGCAATTGCGCCATCTCTATAGCACAGTGAATCGACAACGAGCCATACAAGTAACCTCACTTACAAACAGACATTCCTTCCTACAACCTCCCTACAACATACTTACCTACACACAACCTTCCTTCACACAACCCCCTATACTCTTCCACATACCATATTTCTTCTGCACAACTATACTTTCCTACACGAAGACCTCAATACAGGAAGTCTATATCCGGTCTTCTCCACACGCAGACTTCCATACACGCAATCTATATAAGGTCTTCTCTACATGCAGACCTCTATACACATAATCTATACTAGGCACATAAAGAAACTGTGCATACAAAAATGTAAAATCTAAATTTATCAAACCTGTGTAGACACATAAGGATTTAAACTTAGAGATTAGTGACATGTATCCAATATGCATGCACGTGCCACGTTCCGTGACGGCAGTGGGTTCGTCCTTGAGATGTGCAATACGTTGTTGCACGTGCATTCCGGGAAAGAGAAACAGAGCAAATGAATGCCACACAATACTGTCACTTTTGAAAGTTCAACCCCTGCCCTTGCGATCGTTCAAAAAAAAATTAAACGGCTATTGAAACGCATAGCATGCCAACGCTCACATCTGCACAACGTCATGAGGGCATTGGGATGGTCCGTGGGGGAATGTCTCAACGACAAGTGGCTGCACATTTCCACTGCCACCGGGACACCATTTCTCCACTGATGAGACGCTACCAGGACAAAAATGACGTCATCGATCGGCAACGTTCTGGACGTCCACGTGCAACAACGCCAAGACAGGACATATGGAAAAGGGTGACCCATCTTCGCCGTATCCACCTCAACACAGTTCGACAACGTTTACGTCATCACGGGATCAGACCACGACGTCGCGCCATACGGCCTATCCTGACACAACGTCATCGACAAGCTCGCCGAATGTGGTGCCGAAATCATGTCCGCAGACCCTTGTTTTTGTGGAGAAATGTTTTTACATATGAGTCCAGGTTTAACATTTCCCATAGCGATGGACGTCAATGTGCCTATAGACGTGTGGGAGAACGTTATGCACAGGCCTGTGTCTGGGAGAGGAATCGCTTGGTGGTGGTTCCGTGATGATTTGGGGTGGAATAACAGCACGCCAAAGAACTCCTTTGGTGATTGTTCAGGGGAACTTTACTGGTGTGGGCTACAGGGATCAGATTCTTCGACCTGTGGCAATTCCTTTTCTGCAACGTCATGGCCCAGGGTTAACATTCCAACAGGACAATGCCCGCCCTCATACGGCAAGGGTTGCTATGGATTTCTTGCAACACCACAACGTTGACTTACTGCCTTGGCCTGCAAATTCACCGGATCTCTCCCCGATAGAGCATGTTTGGGACGAGATGGATCGACGTCTACGCCGTCTTCCTCATCCGCCTGATAACGTCCTTGACCTTGCAACAGAACCTGAGAGAATCTGGCGTGACATCCCACAAGCCTTCCTTGCACGTTTGATCGGCTCTATGCGTCGTCGATGCACTGCTGTTCTCAATGCCGATGGTGGACATACCCGTTATTGAGCTTGTGACATGGTCGTTTGACCCCTGTCCCGCTTGTGGACTCGTGACGTCATTGTGATTGACTTTTCAATTGAAATTCTCCCGACTTGTTATGGTCTCATGATCCCTCCATTAAAGTTTATATGTACCTTTGACATTGTTATCGTACTTATCAACTGGGATAATATTTTGACAATGCACAGTTTCTTTATGTGGCTAGTATAGTTTAAAGAAAACGAGAAAGAGTAAATCTAGTGCGGTTTACGACTCATTCATGACCAATTCACGGGAAATATATGAAAAACAAAAATAATATACATAACATGTCAAGGGATAAAAAGCTGTGATTTCTAATGACTCGACTGATAATGTTTTGAACTAGAGGAGAACACTAGAATACCATCATCTATGGTAATAGTAGAATTAGTTAGCCAGGGGTTACACATCAGACAGCAATACTATCAAATCGACTGATTTACTGAAATGTTTAATAACACTTATATTAATCTTGATCTAAGTTTCTAAAAATAGCTGTTGACCAGACATCTACAAGGTATCGGAGGCGGTTTGATCGAGGGTTATGGCTTCTCTGTACTGCGAACGATGTCGTCACATACCTGGTTTGATTTCAACACTCTGGACGATCGAAGTGTACTGAGGTCTAGCTTAGGTTGACCAATGTCGACCAATAATACTAATTATTGGCAGTATATAATTTTTATGCATCTGATATAAGTCAAAATACATGGCCCTTATCGACTGTGTTATTTTAATGCTTAACGTGCTTAATCAATCAATACAATTCTTGTCACTGCTTGTCGTCTACACATTCATTTTCATGAACTAATTATTGTTTTAGATGTATTGAAAAAAAAACTAATTACTGCTTTGTTAGAAAATGGAACACCTTTTAACCCCTGAGAGTTGTAAACTGTAGCAGTACAAGTGGCTGTTGTGTTTCCCCTTCTCCTGGCTGCCAATTTGTATAATTCTATCCTTCATTAAGATCTAGTCAGCTCAGACAGAATTAAGACAACGCTTCTTGCCACAAAATTTAGGTCATTCAATAGCGGAATGTGTAATGTGAGGTGTACTCCGGGTTACTTAGTGCCGAAAACTTGGTGTAAGGTGTACATAGCTGAAGTCGTTACTGAGAGCAGAAGGTTTGGTGTAAAGGTGTACATAGCTGAAGTTGTTACTGAGAGGAGAAGGTTTGGTGTAAGGTGTACATAGCTGAAGTCGTTACTGAGAGGAGAAGGTTTGGTGTGAGGTGTATATAGTTGAAGTCGTTACTGAGAGCAGAAGGTTTGGTGTGAGGTGTACATAGGAAGTCGTTACTGAGAGCAGAAGGTTTGGTGTGAGGTGTACATAGCTGAAGTCGTTACTGAGAGCAGAAGGTTTGGTGTGAGGTGTATAAAGCTGAAGTCGTTACTGAGAGCAGAAGGTTTGGTGTAAGGTGTACATAGCTGAAGTCGTTACTGAGAGCAGAAGGTTTGGTGTGAGGTGTACATAGCTGAAGTCGTTACTGAGAGCAGAAGGTTTGGTGTAAAGG